CAGTTTCTGATGCAAGCCCTGATGCCATTGGCCTTCTTGGCCACCTGGGCACATGGAGGGCGGATTTTGAATTGTTCAGAAGACTACTTAGAAACAAGAAATAATGTGGTGTAACAAGACAGAACTCTGAAAGGAAGAAAGTAAAGGAAGGACAACGAACAGCAACTACTCTTTTCCCAAAGAAGTAATTTAGAGCTGTCCCCTGGTTTCCTAGGGCAGGTGGCAGATCCTTACCTCCTTAAGTAATACTTTCTTTGCTAGTGCTTTCTGTCAAGTCTGGTGAATGACCAGCAGCAGTTTAAGCTGCTGTATGCTGAAATGTCACCACTTAATTTTAGTTAGTCACTTCCGATCACTGGCTGTCCTTTCTTACTATTTTTTATTACTCCTTTCTTGACTATTCTACTGGTTATGGTTATTCATTAATCATCATTGATGTGCTTTTCATAGGGAATCACATATAAAGACACAAGTAATGCTTGCTGCCCAAGGAAGACATTTTACAGAAAGGGCTGGCTTATTTATTTTCTTGTTTGTTCTTCCTCCAAAGCCTCAGGCTTGCATGTTTGAATCTTTTCTTATTTATTTCATTTCTTAGGTTAAAAGTTCTAATTCATTAGCTTCCTTTTTTTCTGTTGTTTGTTTTTGTTTTTGTTTTTTTCCTTTGTCCATGCCCTACTTGTCTCTAAATGTTGTCTAATCTTGCAGTCCTTTAGGCTCCTGTCCTGTTAAAGATAGAGAGTGAGAGTGGCTTGGTGGGCAGCTGGCAGCTATCCTCAGTTAGCCCACCTCTGGTGATCAGGTCTGCACACATTTTGGCTCAGGTTGTGTGATTTCTACATATATCAGACAAACACCTTGTTGATCAGAGCCGCATGCTGTACTGCCTAAATTAATAGCCGTGTTTTTTTCACAGAACAGTTGAAGTTGGGATGGACCTTGTGAGGCCATCTTGTACTATGCCCCACTGAGGCAGGGTGACCTAGACCCATTTTTCTGGAAGCAGTATTGTTACCACATCATGTGCAAGATGTAAGTCATCTGTACTTCCTCTACCTTGTGTAAACTTCATTTGCCATTGTGTTGCCTCTTCACGGCTGCTGAAATTCCTCCAGTCTTTTGCAGGGTGGCACTAGAAATGAGGGCTGCGTGAGGGCTCAGCTGGAACAATGAAGAACAAAATACTCAACTATATTTAGGTGACAGGATATCATATAAAGAAAGAAAGGACACACCTTCAAATTACCAAATGTGCAAGTTAGCAAACATCCATCTTTGTGCAAAGCTTTAGAGTTACAATGATGACCAATCAGCAGGGCAACCAGCTTAACCGTCCTCCTGATCCTTAGGTGGGAACAAGCAGAAACATGCTTTGTTTAAAAGATTTAGATTCAAGAAACAACTTATGTATTTTTGTAATTTTAACTTCAGCAGCACCTGAAGTACCAAATCTCATACAATCATAGCATCATAGCAATGTTTGAGTTGGAAGGGACTATTAAAGTTCACGTAGTCCAACTCCCCTGTAACAAACAGCTCGACCAGGTTGATCAGAGCCCCATTCAGCTTGACCTTGGGTGTCTCCAGGAACGGGGCAGCCACCACCTCTCTGGCCAAAATGTTCCAGTGCTTTTTTCTTATTTCCAGTTTAAATCTTCCCTCTTTGAATTTGAAACCATTTCCCCTTGTCCTATCACAACAGAACCTGCTAAAGTGTCTGTCCCCTTCTTTCTTATTGCCACCCTTGAAAGGCCACTCTCAGATCTCCCCAGAGCCTCCTCTTCTCCAGGCTGAACAGCCCCAGCTCTCTCAGCCTGTCCTTGTAGGAGAGGTGTTCCATCCCTTGGACCATTTTTGTGGCCCCTGTCTGGACACTTTTGATCAGTTCCACATGTCTTGTACTGAGGACTCCACATCTGTACACAGTACAGCAGGTGAGGCCTCAGCAGCACGGAGCAGAGGGGGAGGATCACTCCCTCACCTGCTGGCCACGCTGCTTGGGATGCAGCTCAGGACACAGCTGGCTTCTGTATCTGTCCCTGTACTCTCTCTTTTACTCCATTCACTCCTGAGTTTCATGAATGACTTATCATAGAAAGTCATTAACAGAATTCAGACCCTTAAGCAATCAAAATTAAACTAATTACTCATTTCAATTGTATCATATTTCACTGCTTTAGTACTCACTATATCCTAACTCATTTGGTTCTTCAAGTGCATTCTTTAAGGATATCCAAAGATTATTATCTTTTAATGTTTTTTCTAAAAGTAAATACTGCTAAATCTTTCAGCCCTTCTTCACACGCGGCGAAATGAAAAGGAGCAGCTTTTAAAAATACTATCGGAGGAGCAGCACACTGAAATTCTTAGCATCAGACAGAATTGTCTTGCCTTTCTCCCTTTCCTTCCTTATATTTCTCCTTGCTGAACTTTACTCAAGGCTGATTTGTTCCGATAACAATAAATGGCAACATAATACTTGTATGAGAACATCTGCCCTCATAATTCCAAATTACCTTCTAGACTCAAAATTGCATCTTTGGAGGTGTGGTAATGATAAAACATTGAGATATTCTAGCTTCTGCAAATAAAGTCTTAATATATTCATCACTTGTGATAGGGAGGTGAAGAAAATAATTCCACAGGGGTACTCACTAAAGCAGTAGAGCTATAGCTGCTTTTAATGGCACATGCTTTTTCCTTGCATCAGCTCAGCCTTTTTGTTCTTCATTTCCTTCAGAAGCCCAGAACGTCTGCTGACTTGCTACTTTCCAGTCTGTGCTAGCAGATTAATTCTGAAATAAACCACTGATTCCAAAGGAGGCGTAGCACTTAAAATAAGAAAGGAATTGTATTTATTTCTACTTCTTTATCTGAAGCTCATGGTGTGACTTTTTTCTAAGCTTTTGTTTTGTTGTTGTTGTTTTTTTTTCAGCAGAACTTCATCAAGGGCAACACACAATTCAGCTGAAAATAACAAGCAAAAACAGCCTTCTATTTTCTTTCAACTAGAACACTTTCTTAGTGAGTTGGAGAGATTGTGTAGTTTCCCTTTGGACAGGTAATAGGGTTTTTCCTTTGGTTCCATGGGCACTTCTTCCATCTTATGTGATGCTGGCCTATTATCAAAATATTGAGAAATACTACCCTATAATTCAAAAACACAAAACTGAACAGTCCACTTCAGTTCTCACTTCTCTAAATATATGTAAGCATTCACAGAAACGCTCATGTTAGAAAAGGAGCCTCAGCCACTCTGTTCGGAAAGGGTTGAGGGGAAAGACAGACCTCCTCTTTGAAATTTCAGCACATCCATTTTGGTAGAACAGGTTGATGACAGTCCTGAGATTGTGTTTGGAACTGAAAACTCTCAACTCTCACAGCCTTCGTTACTTCTGTTTCTTAATAAGGAAGGAAGCCAAGCACGTAAAATTAGAAGGGTACAGGACTTAAAATACTTCATTCCTAGTAAAAACCTCTGTATTTTAACATCATATTGTTTATTCACAAAAATCCATGGCTGCATCTTAGGAAAGCTTTAACATGTAGTCTGGGGAGGGAGTGTGTTGAGGTGGAATCAAAAGCATTTGCTTTGGCTTTAACAGTTGTATGTATTTTACAAGCTTTCAAATGCTTGCGTCTAATTCCCTGGTAATCACATTCTTTCTCCTTTTTTTTGCCCATAGAAGTAGTTCCATCAAAAAAATTGTTGTCTGAACTGGTGCTTTTAACTCTGCCTATTACCTTACCTTCCCCCTATTTTATTTCATTACAAATTCTTAACGTTATTTTGCTGAAATTAATATCTCCAGGGTTACCAATGGCTTTCATTTCCAATGCTATGGACCTGACCCAGACTTGGCCATATTACAGCTATAATAAACACTGTCACTAAAAAAACAACGCTGTCACTGGAAAACAACTTGCACTTGTCATAGTAATTACAACTATGAATGAGATAAAAACATGAAGTGGCCAGCAGCAAGAACTGCAGCTAAGTGTCAGCTGTTAGATGACAACCTTATGTATCAGTGAAGGCATGTTTGGGTGACATGACACAGGAGCAGTGACATAAACAGATTCGTCCCAGCTGAAGTACAACAAATTAGACAGCTTGCTCCACCCTTAATTGCAAAGCAGTTTAATTTGTTAATGTGCCCTTTGTGCAGTTATCAGCAGTTACACAACCATACAGTGATAACAGTAGTTAGAATAGTGGATGAAATAAAATGAATGGGTGATCCATATTTTGTATGCAAAATTTAAGTTATTAGCAAATTGCTACCTCAGAGATGCAAGTTCTGATTCACTTAATATGAATTATTAAGGTCCGTATTTGCCACACTTAAATGAGCACACTCCTCTACAGTGAATTTATTACATTCAGTCTTGAGCAGAAAAAAAAAAAGTATGTATATATAATTTGGCCCTGAGATAGGCTGACACCACTGCAGTATCTTCGCTGTTATATCAGAGACTACATACCTATGAGAAAAACAAAGATGTGTTACTAGGTCATCATACGTGAGGTGTTAGTAAAGCTTTCAGGCAATTTACTCACCCAGGCCCTAGACAGTACAGCATGTCTGCTTGCAGTAGCAGCAACCATTAGGAGAAGCAGTACTTTCCTTAAGTCTTTCACTGGCAGGAACTCACCGGACTGCAGCACAGACCTTTTGCCAACAACTCTGCAGATTTTCAACAGTAAAGGTGGCTGCTGGCCAGCAGAGTCTCACTGTGAATGTTAAAGGTTAAGCCTCTTCAGCTAGGCTGTTAAAACAAAAGGCAGAACTGCCTGACACCAAATTAGCTGCCAACACAGCAGTTCATTAGCAGATTATCCTGAATACTGTTTTACAGACATTTTGACCAGGCTCTGGAGTCCTGGCTTGTCCTTTCTGTTTTCTGTGCTCCTGAAGAAGCAGATTCTCTCTTCCCTGCACTTTTTGCACACTGGGGCTGTCCTCCCTCATCATAACACTTGTAAAGGGCAATATCCAGCTGCAGAGCTCTGAATATGATTGCATCCTGGAGCTGAGGCAATCAGCAATAAACGTTTGCAGAGGTGCTGCAAACTGCAAGATCAGGGCACTGCAGGACTCCTAAATGTGCTTCACACAACTACAATGCTAGGCAAAGGACAAATTCTTCCCATAACCATACCACAATTTGCCTTTTGAACTTGATCAAAGCTGAGACTACATCAATACACTCAATAAAAGGAATTTGAAGTATTCAGTATCGTTACTGAAATCCTTATATGTTTATTGAAATTTGGTACTTTAACTTTAAATGACAGACAAACTTAACATCTGACCATTTACTGTAATTTATCCAAATAATTTAAATATCTATGCATTGGGTTCATCCAATGACCACAAAATTCCTTCAGTTCCATTTCTTTCTAGCAGAAACTCTAAGGGGCAATACTTGTTGAAAAAAGAAACATTATCAACGTACATTAAAGTAAAATATCCTGTTATATTCAAATATTAACAAAATATTAAACAATTTGGTTTTAGGCCATACAATTAGTAATAGTTGAATTACCCTGCAATATTTTTTATGATGTGAGGTCTGCTGCTGCAAACATATTAATAGCTAAGTATGCGCGCACTGAGTCATAGGCACACATTTTCCCAGAAAGAGTGGCTGGGTTCCAGACCTGTAGACAAATCCATGTATAACTTCTCACGTTAGCGGCAAGATATGGGCAGAACCACACTTCTACACAGCTGAAGGCACAAATCTTTATTGAATTACAGGTAAAAGTGCATGGCATAACATTTAACATGCCAAAAAAAAAAAAAATCCTCAAAGTTACCTTTTTTTTAAGTTCTCCTTTCCAAAATTTGCTGTCCAGTAAACGTCCCTTGGATCGCACATTTAGCATTAACAAAAGTGACATCTAACTCACAGTTGGGTCTTCAGTGACCAATGCTTTCTGTTTTTGCAGATACACTAAAAATAAGACGCATTGGCTTGGAAACCTTTCCTGTCAGAATCGATTGTAGCATTGATTCCTCAGGGCACTGAAAGCTCAGGATATGTTTTTTAATGAAGAGCTGTATGTTGGCATTACTGCTGGAAGATAAACTTCTATATCTCGCAGTTACAGCACTCATATCAGTAACTTTATAACCCACCTCTTAAAGAACTCTGTAATTTAAGTTGATATGGATATCTGAAAGCTCTCTTTATTGACCGTAGCTCCTTCTGTAGTTTCGGTTTCATGACTAAAGAGTACAAACACTAACTGCACTTTTGTTTTTACTGCCCTGCTTTATCAGACAAACTGCAACTTTACACCTTGTTAAGGAAGTAAAGTGAGAAGAAAACCATATTATACTGTTAACAAGGTAGATAAGACTATTATTTACCGTGACGTTTTTTAAGGAATATTATTCTTTGTGCAATGGGACCAGAGATAAAGCATATCCTCAAATGATAATGCGCGCATTGAAAAGAGCTTTTTCACACCCGCTATCAGCACGAAGCCATGACCTCAGAGCAAGAATCCCATACCTGAGCCAGCTGACAAGGGACTGTTCTGGAGGAAAAGCCAGCCCCCAACTCAGTCAGCTAAAATAAACACATTTTATCTGCTCTGCTTTCAATCACAGTTTCCGATTCGAACCAAAGCTCCTGCCTTTAGGTCACGGACTGGAATTGGGTTTTCCACCGAAGAACTTATTCATTTCCACCGGCTCTCGTGGGCCACCTGAGAGGGAAGCGTGCGCTGTGTAACTGCGGAGGATACGAGGCACTTCCAAGTTCAACGTGCAGCAAAACATTCTGTTCACGAGAACGAGCACAAACAGCAGACAGAAGAAGGGGTTACCCCGTGGAAATTTCAGCCCACGGGAGGAAATCGAACGTGTTTAATAAACCGAGACACTGGGGTCCTGCGGGACAGCAAAACGCGTGAAACCAACACAGAGCGACGCGGGATCCGCGACGACGCCCCCCGGCAGAGCGGCGCGCAGGGGCTCGGCGCTCCCCTCCGCAGGGCCCCGCGTCCCCGCCCGCCCATCCGTGCCGCAGCACGCGGCTGCCCCGCGCCCGCCCGGGCACGCCCGTGCCATTCCCCTCAGGGCCGGCCGACGGCCGACCCCGCGCGCGAGCCGCCTCCCCTCATCGCCTCACTTACGCGAGCCAACGCTTTTCGAGTTTTATTCCCGGACGCCTTCCGACCCCCCTCGCAAAGCGCATCCCCCCCACCCGGCCCCGAGGCGGCGGGACACCCCGCCCTCGGAGCCGCAGCACGGCGCGCAGCTCCCTCCGCGCCGCCGAAACCCCGCGCCCCTCCGCCCGGGGCTCCGGGCAGCGGCTTCGCGCCGCCCAGCGCGCACGCGCGTTCCCCTCCGCGCACGCGCGCCGCGTCCCGAGCCGCAAAATCCGATAGGGGGGAAAATCTGAACGGCGCCGCCGCCGCCGCCATATTGCGGAGCTGTCAGCGGCCGCCGCGCTCGGCGCCTCGTCCCCGGCGGCGCCGCGAGCAGCGCGGGGCGGCCCCGCAGCGCCTCCTGCCCCGCTGCCAGGGGGGAGCTGCGCGGCGGGGCGGGGAAGGGAAACGCCCGCCTCGGTTCTCTCGGTCGCCTTTCCGCGCCTCGTCCCCTCCCCGACGCCGCGGGGGGAGCGCAGCCCCAGGTGAGCTCGGCGGGGGCGGCGGGCCGGGTCGGGTCGGGTCGGGCGGCGGGCCGGGTGCTGCGGGCGCTGAGCGCTCCGTCCCGCCGCCCCCTCCGAGCGAGTCGTGGGCGTTCTGCGGGAGCTCCCGCTGCATTATTCATGGGCTCCGCGGCCATGTGGCGGCTGCGTGCGGGAGCGATAAGGGCTCGCTTCGTGAGGGAGCGCCGCGAGCATCTGTTGCTGTCTTTTGTTTCCGACGAGCGGACGCTTGGAGAGTCCTCGAGTGCCGGCCGGCGTCGCGGCTCGGCGGCTCTCAACGAGCCTTTGTGCCCTGCGCGCCTGGCTTCGTGCTCTGCGGGCTGTGTGCGGGCTGTGCCGCCTGCGCTTCGCCTTTCGCTTCGAGGCGCGCAGCCCGCGGCTCTGTGCCCTCCGGCCGTGCCGGTTCTCTGCGTCCGCGCGTGGGAAGCTACTCTGTCGGCCTCCGTCGTGCCGGCAGAAAGAACCGAACCGGCCGCGGGCTGCGGCGGGGCTGCCTTTCCCCATCGGCCAAGTGTTTCGCGCTCCCCCCCCCAGGGCACGGCCTTCCGCAAGCGTTTTCTTTCTGGGCTGTGGGAGTTGAGAGAACTCGGCTCCGTTCCGCGTGCGTGACGCTGAGTCAGGCTCCGGAGGTGTCCCTGCGCCCGGCCCCGTGCCGCGCGTCTCGGCTCGGCGCTGCCCACACGCGGGTGCCGCAGCTGTCGGTGCGTGGGCACCGCTCTGCAGCGCTGCGCCGGGCGGGGCGTGGAGCTGCGCGCGGGGAATCGGCCCCGCTTCTGCCCCGCTTCTGTGTGCGGAGGAGCGAAAGCCGTCGGTCGGGTTGTAACTCTCGTCTGTATGGAGCTATCGATTTAGCAGAAGAGGGGTTGTGAGGAAAAATAAACGGCGGTGTTCCCAGATAAGCGGCCTCCCGGCGAGCGGCAGTCACAAGGCGGTGGCACGCTTCCAGCTTTGTGCCGAAGTGACACAGCTCTTCCCTCAGGTTGGGAGGCTGGAGGGCTGAAGTACCGTCCTCAGTACCGTACTCGGCATCGAAAACCACGTGGAAAGGGACGCGATGTGACACCTCAGGAGCTGTCCAGAGAGTTTTCCTTGGGTACTGACTGAAAGAAACAATATGAAAAGTGTCTGGAGGGAGAACAGAAAGAGCTCCCGTCGTTTGCTGCTGCTATCGCGGCAGGGAGTGTTGCCGGCCTTGCTGATGTTCAGAGCTGCCAGATAAAGTTAGTTCACTGCCAGCCTGGTGAAGCTGTAGAGTGAGAAGTTGGCTCACTGCATATGTGGTGAGAATGTGGATCTGTCCATGCAGTGTGTGATCGGGGGGTAAGGAACGAAAGAGGTGAATTTCTGGTGGAGGCAGTTCCTGGTAAATAGAGCAACTGAAGTGATTTCAGTCACTGTCAGGATAGGTACGTAGGTTTATTCTTCAGAGATCTTCAATTGCTGCTCAACTTTTAAGAAGGAGTACTTGTGTTGGCAGGGGTTAAAAGGGAAGTTGTTCAAGGCATTGCAGCTTTGTATTGGATGTGTTAAAAACATCAAAGCTTTCCTATCACTTTGTATTGCCTTAAAAGTGTGTGGGTGTAGAGGAAAGGGAGGATTTTCAAGTTTGTAAATGTAACCAAAGTTTAAACTGAGTTGTGAAGAAAGACCTGATTGTCCAAAGATACTGTGCATTAAAGCAGCACCCAGTGTGTCTCCCAAGCTTTTCCCAGAGTTGGAGGGACCTCAGGAAACTCTTTGCTTTCTACACTGAAGGGCTGCGTCTCTGGGTAACTTTAGCAGCAGCTAATTCTTGGCTCTGTTTTGAATTAAATAACTTTCTCTTTCGGTTTTAGGCGATTATTAATTACTCTGTGAAATGAAACCTTCAAGTGATGTAGTTCAGGGAGAAACAGAATAACAACACTGACTCAAACAGGGAGCACTTTGATTTAAGAACTCTAGTAATGTGTCTGGAGGCCGATGTGAGGGCTTTGCTGTGCTTTATGGAACTAGTCCTAAGAGACTTGCATCCCATTATTCGGAATAAACAACCTCTGCTTCTGGAACGGGACATACCCAGGGTTTCAGTTATGCCACAGTTCTTTGCTAGCCCTATTTTTAGACAAGTCTCTCACCTTAAAACAATAGAGTACTTGTGTCAATCACACATCTTAATTTCCATTTTTACTTCTGTATCAGACATACATGGGAAGACTGCACGGGAAGACTGCATATTGTTGTTGTAGAACTCATCCAGATCTTGGTTGGATGCCTTAAGCAAAATTCTGAAGTTAAGATGACAGTTTATATTTATTAAGCTTAGTATGCAAGTTGTTTAGCACATCTGTCTCTAACTGGTAAAACATCAACTGTTGCATAAACATCATTTGTCTGTTCTGTGTTCCTTTCTATTTAACTACCACGCTGGCTGCTGCCCAGTTCTCATTAGTACTTCTGAGCTTCTTGAGATCTCCAGTTTAGAAGAAAGCAGCTCCATCTTCAAAATGGCTCTGGCTGTAAATATATTTAAAGCTTAACAATTGTCCCAGTTATATAGTAACTATTTAAAGAAAATCAGCAAGTCAGGTATGGTGGGTGTGGGGAAACTGGAGGGAAACATTCTTTTAAGGAGGTGAAGGTATAATACTCCAAGTGTTGCTATGTAAAATTCTGTAGTATCTGGCACTGGTCCCATCTCTTCTTTTTTGAAATTACTATAATGATTTATTTATAGAATATAGCTGTTTTATTTATCCCTCTTCCTGTAAGATTACTTGTCCTGGTTCCACTGTGGTCTTTCTGCATCTCAGACAGTTGTGTAGGTATCTGCTTGCCTGAGTGACAGATACACATAGAGGTACATGTGTGAATGCACAGCTTTATTGGACCTTGCCAAATGTGTCGTTAGGATCTATTGAGCTTAGTGCAAGGGATGGTTGCCCCATGGATGTGCACGGGCTATGCTAGAACAAAGGTTTTGGCAGAAAGCTGAGGCCAAGTGGGTGAGTACAGCGGCCTGTAGGTTTCCTATTGCTGCCTGTAAAACTGTTGGAGATCACAACAATTGCAATGCTGCAAGACTGCAAAGAAAAAGTGTATTTACGTTAAACAAGTTCCTGTAAATGGGTGAGCTGGTGTTACGTGGCTGTGGCTGAAACTCTGTGGTCCTGCCATCTGTGTGCCGGCAGCAGGTGCTGAGAGCTCAGCCTGGGGAGCGCCCTGCCGAGAGGCTTCTGGAGGAGGGCCGTGTGCTGTCAGACGGGGCCCTGCTGATGCTGAGGCTCTGTTTTCCGTCATCTCGGGCCTCCCGTCCCCTCCTCACCTGACCCCGGCCTCACGGCTGTGTGCATGAATGTTTCTTTTGAAAACAGCTGCTGCATAAATTATCTGTCAGAATTTTGGCATCGTGCGCTTTCTGCACCATCGCTTTCTGGATAAAGCTTTCTTTGTCGTCTTTCAACAATTGCTTTGTTTGTTGGCTTCTGTGGCATAAGTGGGAACATGGATGATAATGATTTCAAAAAAAAAAAAAATCGAACCGCTATGTTGTTAAATGAATTGAAATCTCAATTGTTCATTTTAAGAGAATTTCTGTTTGGTTTGTGATGCATCTGACCTCGTGGTGACTCAGTGCGGACAGGGATCACAGCAGCACGTGCCGTGAAGGCGTCGAGGCCTGGGGAGCTGCAGCAGGAGCTCTGCACCCACAGCCCCATGGGGCTGGTGTGGAATGGAGGCTAAGATAAAACTGAGCATATGTAATTAACTGCGTCAGCAAAAAGCTTAGCGAGAGCCAAAATAATGCCGTCCGCTAAATGTAAAGTGGATACACGTAAATGGCAGACATGAGCTCCTACTGCAGTCATAATAGTGGAGGTGACAGTATTTTGCCTGGTGGTGATATTTGGTTTCTTTCAATTAAATATCTTTGTTATATTTGTTTTGTCTTAATGCTAATTGATGCTGATAACTGGGGAAGATAGGGTGTTTTTTCTGTTTGCTGCTTGATTTTGATTTTTTTTGCTCCATTTCTGGGAAGATCTTGATTTTTCTGTAGCAATAATAATTAGTTGTAATGCTTTTATATGAATATATTGTATGAAACTGTGTAACACTGAGTATGAAGGCAGGTAGACACAGGCTGTTCCTGCACTATGTACACATTTATTTCCATATTATAAATTTCCAACTAACATCAGTGTTGGATTCATGCGACTTTTTTTCTTATAATACAACACATGGTTTGTATGATCTGCAGTAAGACCAGGCTTCAGCACAATTGAGGAAACTTACGATATTTTTCTTTTAAATAAATGAGATTACAGCTTTAATCTTAGATACTACAGCAGACACTTCAATGAAAATTCAGATATTGTTTGCTCTGTAAAGATCTTCTCTATTCTCTGTGCTCCAGTCACCTGTTGGGCCCATAGGATCTGTGGAGCTGGCAGTGGCACTGTTTGTGTTTGGTTATGGACAAGAGGATTCTTAACTTTCAACTGGTAGCTTTGTTTTATTGCATGCAAACAGTAGGTGTTAATTGTGTAAACTCAGTTAAATTATATGTCTACTAGCTGTGGTTTGATGACTTAAAATTATCCTATAGAATGAAACGTTGTAGTGGCATTTCTGATTTAAACGATTGCCCTAAGGTTTTAGAGTCTGCTTTCAAATAGCAATT